AAACTTACGTGATTTACGCCAGTGAGCGCAAAAGCGACAACCACTCATGCAGTTAACGGCCTAAGTACTTCAAGTCTTGTGCAAAAAGGCATGATCGCACCGACAAGCCTGGTGCATTCCAGCTTGCGCTGTTTATGCATGATTTACTGTGATTTGTGGCGATGAGTGCGCAGGTTAGATGTGAAGCGGGACACAAGTTTAGCAGACCATTTTTGCAGCTAACGAACTGGTTGCTTAAATTTTAGCGCAAAAACGTATTACCACAGCGGGAAGTTTGGTGTGTTATAGCCCGGGTTTAAGTGTTCATGTATTATCTCTTTTCTTTCCATTTTTCACCTTTAGAAATACGTATTTTTTTATTCATTGCTTACATATTTTATCGTTTGTCTTTCTTCCACCTTTAAATATGTGTACATATATATTTGAAGATGAAAAAAGAAAAAAATGATATATTTTCCTATCGTACTGGTGAGGTGCAGTTGTAGCGCTGCATAGAAATGTATACGCCTTGTTAGGCCGAAATATTCCTGTTCAAAAATTTAATCTCAATTCCATAACCTGTTTTTTTTATGTTTTCTCTTTTTATAATCTTTAAACAGGTGATGCACATACGTCGAACAGGTGGTGGGTTCTAGCTGGAGGCAACAAGCTTAGGAACGAAGGGTTTAGCACATCTGTGCTCGGAATGGGGAAGCACTCTAGTAGTTTCACTAAAATGCCACACTGATAGTCCTATCAGTCTAGTATTCTTGGTATATGTTCCAATTATATATGTCTTTTTCCTACTAGTAAAAATAAGTATATTTTTCATTTATGTTTTTGCACTACTAATATTATCCAAAAATTGCAATAGCTGTACCAATGTGGGCCCATTTGTGGCTTCAAAATACAACATATATCTTGAATCGGCTAATTAAAAGAAACAAAGATAAGAACAATTATAAAGCACAGAAATATCAAAATCCTTCCAAAGTATGAACTGGAGTAGTGCCAGTGACTCTAATCGCTTCTGGAACAAAAGCGCTTTCCGGAATTGGCGTTTTTTCCGGAACTGCAGCTGGAAAGCGCCAACTTCCGACCGTATTCGGTGAACGATGACAGTGCTGACGGCAGTAGCGTATACTGGCAAGTCGTTGTAGCAGAACACAACCGAGTAAGATGAAGAAAACACAGGTGAGTGCGGATCCAATGATCAGTAAAAGTGGAGCTGCATAGCTACTGTAGTACCACAATTTATCCTTAACTGTTATCACTGGCCAGCATTCATCTCCCGCTGCATCTACATCAGTTGTAGTCGCAGCACTTGTAGCAGTAGTAGCAGTGGCACCTGATAAAAAAATTCAATTTTCTAGCTTTCTGAACAAATGTCATTTCTGTTTTTTGCATCTGTGTGCCCCTTTGACCAAATTTCGCACCTTTTTCGGCCCGTTTTTCCGAATTCCTGGTCTCCGGGCAAGAAAAACTGCTGAAACACAAAAGATGCTTCTCGCGTTTCCTATTTTTATGGTTTAATAGCCAAATTTGAGGCGACAAAACGATTGACATGATTGCTAGCTAGCTAACCACTAGACGACACAACACTGGTCAAAGCAACTGGAAATTTGCCCGCTGCTTAAATGAACCTGCAGCAAGTATAATCATAACGTAATAACTCACCAAATTAAAATTCAGAAAAACCCTTTCAGTTTTAATTTATAGCAGCGCTAAAGAACTGATAGTTGTTTTATTCAACAGTTAAGCCGGACTTTTTTAAAATCAGTTAGAAAAGTGCAAAGTTTAGCCAAAAAAACAAAAACGCACAGGAATGAATGATACAATGCTTAGCAATTAAAGACTGTTCCAAGAGCGTTGTGCTGAAATCAGTACGTGCACCAAAAAGTACGTAGGTATCGGTAGCCGCACAATGAGTTATATTTTTGAGCATGCAGGTTTTTTTCGATTTTTGATGAAAATATTCCCTTTCGCCTTTTCTACGCCTTCGTTTTTCAGGCTTCTTGCACCCGAGAATTTCATTTGTGCAAAATCTGAGGAAGAAAAAAACATACTTAGCTGAGTAGTGATGAAATTTTCGATGTGGTCCCATGCTTCGGTGAACGACCGCGAGTTCCGACTGGATGAGGAATATGGATACAACCATTCACAGTGTGACGCGCCTACGATTTAGCGTTCATGTACTATCTTAACATGTATTTACACCACCATCAGCTTACTCCCAAACAAACTTTAGAAGAGGGAGTCGTCAATAGCCTTGCCGGAGTGCGGTTGCTGCTGACAACTGCTACCACTCGGGCTACTTTCGAGTGCCTCTACTTTGACAGAGAATGAATACGCAGGAGTGGCTTGGTACTTGCATAAATGGTAGGCTGGCGAGTTATATCGCTTCCAGCTTAACCAACATTTCTTCAGGCAAAGCACTGCCATTGCGGGAAACCCGCGAAAAGCTGA